GTGCGTTTGGGCGGAGCCGTAGCAGCCTTCGCCCGCCTGCTCTGCCCTTGCCGCCTCGCTTGCGTCTCTGTCCTGTTTCGCCCTTGTCTGTCGCAGATTGCCAATCAGAGAGACTCTTTGCCTCGATGCAGCACCATCAACCCGCCCGCGACCCGCCTCCCTCCCGCCACCCTCGACGCGCCCCGCCCGCCCTGCAACCCCCGCAGGCCCGCTCGCGTTCCCGCTCCCGCGACCGCCGCGCGCCGCGCCGCCGGTCTGCGAGCAGCAGCAGCCGCTCCAGCTACAGCCGCAGCAGCAGCAGCGGCGGCAGCAGCCGCTCGCGCTCGCGCAGCAGCAGCAGCAGCCGCAGCCGCGGGCCGCGGCGCCGGCGGAGGAGCCCGTCCAGCAGCCGCAGCCGCTAGCAGTTGCGCGGCCCCCTGCCCCCTTGGGGCGGCCGCGCGCGGGTTGCTTTGGTGGCGCAGCGCGCGCCGGCCTGCCAAAAGAGCACACAGTTTGGCGGGGCAGCGGATTTCCTGCGACTCTGGAGGCTGTCCCATACCGTATGCAGACACCTTCCCCTGACACGTTCCTCTGGCACTCGATTTGTGGCGGCGCTCTGCCCCGCAACCGCGCTTGCATGCAAATGAATGCAACACGTTTTCTTGTTACTTGCTGCGTGCCAAAAAGGAAGATCCCGCAGGTGTGGTGGGCGAAGTCAAGCGCGGCGGTGGGGCGGCGGCAGGGCCGTCGAAAGCCGGGGAGGAGGGAGCAGATAAGGAAGACGCCGGGCCAGGCCAGGGGCGCGTCGCAGGCAGGGGGTGCGGCCCCCAGTCGAGGCTGGCCCCTGGCCCGCGAGGCCATAGGAAGAACCAAAAGCGAGCCGGGCGCTCACAGCCGCACGGGCATCAGTCATCAACGGGAGGAGCGGGGGCAGCGAAGGCGACGCCCTGGGGTTAGGGTAGGCGGGAGATCGAGGGGTGCGCGGAGTGCCTGTGAAGGAAACGCCGGCTAAGGGAGTGCTGCGATAAAGGGCCCGAATCGGCCGCCCTCGATCAGGGGGGCGTGGCTTGCCGGTGAGGGCAGGGGCTTGGCTGCAACGTGCAGCCGGCAGGGAGTGTGCAGTGCATGGCTGTGTGGGGGGGGCGCCGGGAGCAAATGGCGCGCGCATGTGTTGTGGAAGGAACGGATGGGCGGTTGCGGCTAGTCAACACGGCTGCGCTGGTCAAACTCTTTCGGTGGTGCTCTTGCCTGCGACAACCGGCAGCCGCCGGCGTCCGGCAGCGGCCGGGCTGGGGATGCCATCAAGCTGGGGTGCAAGAATCAAAAGGCAGTCCGAGGGAGGCACAATGGTACGGTCCAGTTGTGTGAGCGTGAACACTCTCGCCCGGCAAGGATGGGCAAACACTCGGTCCCCACATCAATCTGGCGCAACTGTGAGCACATCAGCACGCGGGCTGCTGCGAAGCGCCGCCGAGGCGGCGGCCGCGCGCTGCGTTTCAGGCAGCGCCGCCCTCAACGCATTTCAATCTTTGCATTGCTTCCTTTAGTGTCGAGCGGCCCCCCATTGAGAAAATCAATTGGTGGGAGTATGGGTGCCCGGGCCAGCGCCGCTCGCGCTCGCATCAACCCACAGTACATGTAAATAAGTGCCGCTTGCAAAGCCAAAAACGGTTCCCTTGGGCCAAACTAACGTGCGCGCTCGCGCGCAGTGCCGAGAAAACGACATACGTGCTTGGTCCCGGCTGCGCGCGTGCAAAGGCTGCTGGACAAAAGGGGGGACAGTTATTGACCAGCGTCTGCGTACAAACGGCCATCGACAGTCTCTGGATAGGTGTACGGCATAGGACAAGCAGTGCAGACTCGCAGTCGAGAGTTGACTGGGTCTTGACCATCCCTGATGAAGGGTGGCCCCGTTCTCCCAGGGCAAAAAGCGTCTCCCAACAACACACAAAGCGCTCCGCTTCAAACTGCAAACCACCACTGCAAGCCGGCAGCCGGCGGCGCCCGTACCGTACGCAGGCGCCGCGCGGCTGGCGGCTTGGTTATCAAGCTCTCCTCTCGAGCAATCGGTGCATGAAACCAGTCCAAAGGGCCAAGGCACGACACAGCGCGCGCGGCAGCCAGACGGAAGTGCCACGCCGCGCCATCCGCACGGCCCGCGGGTCGCCGACGCACAGCGCGGCGCCCCGCCGCCGCCGCAGCGGCCGCGGCCGCCGAGCGCGCGCGGGGCGGGGAGCGCGGGTCTTTCGCCGTCGGCGCTGCCCGTTAATCCGTCGTGGCCCGTAGGGGCCGTGGGGGTTTGCCCCATCATTGCCTGTTTATGTTGGTGCGGCGCTGCTCTCACGACGGATCTCTTCCAAGACCTCCCCCACCAGGCGCGTGAGGCTGCTGGTGCCCTCCCGCGCGGCCGCTGCGTCCGCCCGGACCGCCGCGGCTGCGGC